TGCCATTTCACGCAGTTGAAGTACTGCAAGGCTGGGGGGATGAGAGTTCTCGCGGAACTCTGGAACGACACGGACTACACATTCGTGCCTTCCACGGCTTAGTGGGTGCAGAGGTGGGTGGCAGACGAGGGGATACAGGACACAAGAGCGCCCGCGGGTGGCCGACGACAGCGGATGGACGACGGAGAGAGGGACGACATTCAAGACGCCCTCGATGAGGAGGAGGGCCGCGAGGGTGGGGCTAGGGAGGGGGGGGTGGCAGACGAGGCAGTCGGAGAGCCTCCCTCCCGAAACTCGTTGTTCTGGATTCGTGGATGCAGGCTTTGTCATTATCGATACGCACTTCCCACCTTACTTAGTGTTGTTGCCATTTAACGAGCTGATCGTCATTCTGTGGACGGCAGTGGCGCCCCATTGGCCTCGAACACTGTGCACAAAGTGCCAGTGTCTCGATCGCTACGAATCAAAGGGCTTCCACTGCCGGATACGGAGTGAAGATGAGCACAAGGAAAGAGCCATGCGGTTGAGACCATCCACGTCGGACTCGGAACTGGCCAACGAGCGACGTCGGGACTTGATACGAAAACGAGACACGCGGAGTGTACCGAAGCCCTAACGCTCTAAACAAAGGCCCATAGCGCGGTGGGAAGTTCGGCAATACTTTTTGGATTGAATTTGGATTTTTCTCTTTTCGCGCCGAGCCCACGCGCGCATTCCGCGACGCGCGAAAGCAACCGACTTACTTCATCGGGCCAACACGGGGGATTTCAGTTATGTCTGTGTCCCCACACTCAATTTTCCAAAAATCCTGGGCACACCCCATCTTGTTGTTTTTCTAGGCCTTCTTTCCGCACCTTTAGCGCTCTGAACGGAAGACAGCACATGGCGTGAGGTTGGTATCGGAGCCGACACGTGTCGGTTCTGATGATAGTAAGTCGAGCTGGCGAGAGGTAGAAGAAGTCCTCAACCTTCTCGTCGAGATCGCCCAGTGACCAGATCAAGATCTGGTGGGGCTAGACAGGCTATGCCAATAGCGGGCGGCAACGCAGCTCCCCCCAGGGTGATTGTTAGTATTCCCACCGCTTTTCTTTTCTTTCCTAATCACACCCACCCTGAAGCTTGGTTGGAAGTCGTCCAAGCTCAAGGATATAGCGCGGAAGATCTCCCCCGCGTCATTACCTTGCTGCTTCACAACACGTCGCATGATTGGTTTAGGAAACACAGATGGGTAGATTGGAACGCCTTCAAGCAGGCGTTCTTGGCCAGATTCAATACGGTCAACGAAGACGCCGCTTGGTATGTGCTCAAGACTCGACCGCAAGAACCAGGGGAGTTGCTGCCTGACTTCGTGGATCGATTCCAAACTACGTTGGACAAATTAGGATGAGATGAAAAATCCGTCCGAGATTTGTTTATCGATCATCTATGAAGTCCGACGCTGAAAGGTAAGCTGCAAAAAAAGGTCCTCCTTAAAACGAACCCGCTACCCGCTAGCATCACCAAAGCACTTGAGTTAGACCTGACGGTTACAAAAAAGTATATCAGTCAGGGAGACGAAGACATTACGGACACGATTCAGGATGTAGCGACGAAACGACGATCGTGGTTACGAGTCGTAGAACGATTCTATCCTCGGCCTGATCATGACCTTCTCGAAGGGGCCGCCTCTGATATCCCGTCAGTTCCTTCTCCCCCTCCTCCGGCTCTCTCAATAAACCAACAGGTAGCAATGGTCAAACCCAGAAGCTCGCAAGATCCTGCCTTTATGACCATAACCAACGTGCACTTGGAACAGATGATCCATACAGCTACGACCAACCAATCTGAATGGATGAGCAATCTGGTCCAAATGCAGGCGGCTCACATGGATCGAATGGAACAGATAATGAGCAGGCTAATTAAGCCCAACCCGGCTCCTGCCCGACCTGCCCCTGCATCATTCCCGCTTTTGCCTGCTCCGCCTGCACCTGGACATGAACCGCAGTTCCCTCCTGCAGTTAACCTGGCAGGGAAAATTGAGTGTTACAACTGCAAACAGCCCGGGCATTTTGCCCGGGACTGTCCGCAGCCAAAACGAAATCAGCCCCCACCAGCCGCAGCCCCCGTAGCTTTGAATCAAGGATGAGTGGCCGCACTAATGGATACGGCCCGAAACGAGGAGATCATTGCGTACGCCCCTGAGCAACCCTCCCCCTCAATAGCAGTTGCATCGACCTCGAGAATTTCTTCTTTCGAAGTTGCTGACGTGGTTGATCCGGTCGAATACCTTCATCTCGCCGGCATGATCGGAGCAATCCGACCAGCCCAGGACGATCTTGAATGGGTCAAACGCGAATCTAACCCCGGACCACAGTTTCGGACGGGAGAAATTGATGTACTACGAACGCTCAAGCAACTGGACATTCACGTTCCGGTCCCAGTAGAACATTTGTTCACCATATCTGAAGCAGCAAATGACAAGTTGCTACAAAAGTGTCAGAAGAATCAAAAGCGCTTTACATACCAGCACATACAACGAATGTTGAAAAAGAAGAAGGAAGAAGGAACGGAGGGTGTTGCACCGCCTGAACCCGAAGTCGGTGAACCTGAAGAAGCGCGAGTAGCTGCCATTTCTTTAGCTGAGAAAGATCATTTTGTGCGAGCTCGACCAGTGCTGTGGAAAAGCGCTGAATGTGATTGCGAAGTATGGGGCAAACCTTTTAATGCCCTTATCGATACCGGATCCTCCGCAGTCGCTATATCATTAGATACGGCGAAAAGGACGAGACGACTCAACTCGATTCTCCCTCAATCTGGCAAGGACCATTACGTCTCTGCGGACGAGGAAGCAATGAATATCGTGGGAATTATTGAGAATGTGGCCGTGAAAGTTGGGAGAGTACACGTCTTTGTTAACGCCTTGGTCATAGATGTGCACCCATATTCGGTGCTGTTGGGACTGCCTTGGGCAATGGCAGTAGGTGCCCGCATGCATTTCAATTCCAAACAGTTGGTGCTTACGCAAACAGGTGGAAAGCCTCAGACAGTCCCGTTGAGGATTTCAACCCGAACAGTGAAAAGGAATCCTAATTCTGCTCGGGTAGGGATGATTCAAGGTCCTGATCACAAGACACTTTCATCTTCGGATAGTAATAGCGGATTCGAAGAACAGGAGTGCGAAGAAGAGATGCCTAGTGAGATTGAATGGAAACACTTGGTCGAACTTTTCGAGCATGAAACCCCAGAGGAATTTCGGATGGTTCCCAGAACCACACGAACTTTCCATTTGAGTCTGGGAGACAACGCGCTCACGCCTATGGAAACCCAGGTCAGTCCCTCGACCTTTTCCGGAGAACCCATCGTGCAAATATCTGACCCGGCAGACGATTTGGAACCCCCTCGCACCTTGTATGAGGGAACACTTTCCCTCCGAGCACGCTATCAACAGGCGAAACAATACCTGGATGTTTTTGTTTCCCCTCCAAGGTCACTGCTTACAACAGGAGTGACCATCGCTCTGATTAAACAAGAAGCCGAAGCTCCCGTCGACGATGTGCCCGATCTGATGCAGGAAATGGTAGATTTAACAGGACTAACCGTGGAAGAAACCTCGGCTGATTCGAAAACTGACGCCGAAGTTAAAGAGACCGAGATGATTAGCCCCGCTGAATCCCAGATGATCGCGACTGTATTTTCTGTTTGAACTAGCAGCTCTATTTTCTCTAGCGTCCTTGACCGACGGAACCGGTCTGCTGATTGGATCGATATGCCCCTTGAGATACCCGATCGATCGACTGTCACTCTGCCCGATCACGTCCCCCCGGAATTTCGACAATCACTGATTAACGTCTTGAATGGGTACGTAGAGGTATTAAGTGTGCGCGATAACGATATTGGGCTATCCAACGTGATCGAGCATGCCATCCTTACGGGGGATCATCCACCTATTAGCTGCGTTCCTTATCGATACCCGCCAGCCCAACGGGCGGCCACGTTTCCACGAATTAAGGAATTCAAAGCTAATGGATGGATCAAACCCGCTATAGGACCTTGGTCGTTTCCTGTGGTAATCGTACCCAAGAAGGTTGGAGGGATTCGCATATGCATCGATTATCGGAAACTAAACGATATCACGATCAAAGATGTGTACCCTCTTCCTCGGATTGATGAGCTGTTGGATGTGATTGGGAGTGCTCGATTTTTCAGTAAGTTTGATGTTCGACATGGGTTTCATCATCTTCTTGTTCGAGAGGAGGATCGTCCGAAAACGACGTTTGTGTTGTTCGAAGGTACTTGGCAATGGGTTCGATGTCCAATGGGCATCTGCAATGCTCCTGGAACCTTTTAGCGAGCCACGAACATGGCTTTCCAGAACTTTGTGCGGAAGACCCGTCTGGCGCAGAGTATCATCAATTATTGCGTGGTTGTGTACATGGATGATATTCTGGTGTACTCGAGTTCCTACGAGGGGCATGTGCAGCACATCGAATGGACACTGCATGCATTGAGAGATGTTGGTTTCAAGGTGGCCCTTGAGAAATGTCAGTTCTTCCTCACCACCATTTCCTTCCTGGGACACATGGTGATCGACCAGGGACTCAGACCGGAACCGCAAAAGGTGGCAGTCGTGAGAGACGCGCCTGTGCCCACGACTATTACGCAAGTTCGCGCCTTTCTCGGCCTAGCCTCGTCCTACCGAAGGTTTATCAAGGGCTTCGCGGTTATCGCAGGTCCCCTCACGGATCTGCTGAAAAAGGATCAGCCGTTGATTTGGACGCCAGAGTGTGATCAAGCGTTCTCGAAACTCAAGGCAGCCCTTATTTTGGCTCCGGTCCTTATAAGACCGGATCCTGAAAAAACTTTTGTCCTCATCACGGACTGGCAGCCGGAGGCAATCTCAGCGATCTTGGCCCAGGTGGGACCCAGCGGACTCGAATGGGTGGTAGAATACGCGTCTAAGTTAGTGCCTGCCTGCAAACGCAATTACGCCGCCCCGATAGGAGAATGCTATGCAGCTCTGTGGGGGATCAGTCACTTTCGAGCCTATTTGTATGGGCGGAAGTTCACGCTGGTCACCGATCATGAACCATTATTAGCCTTTGAAGAAATCTAAGGATTACTTAGGCATGATGAGGAGATGGGCAACGATGTTACAGAGTATGGACTTTGACATTCGTCATTGGAAGCACATGAGGCACGGGAATGCGGACGGGTTGACACGACTGCACCGACACGAGAAGGTCCTCAAGAGCGAGGAGGTGATTCCGTGGAACGAACCGAAGGATGATAACGGATCACGGTACGGGCAAGTGGAAATTTTGTCGAAGGAGTGAGTGACGCGGAGCTTTCGCTCTACCCTCTCTGCAACCCTGCTCTCTCTTTCTCTCTCCTCCCATCATGACTACCCCACCTGTTTTTGCGACCCCTTCTTCCCCTGCTGATTCGGACCCTCTCGCCTCCTCGGCCTTCTTCGCCACCCTTCCCGACAAATTCTGCTATTTTTGCACGTGTATTGCACGGGTATATGGGGTGGATTGTCATCCTTTTGAGACTGGATTCGTTGAGTGGGTGAACTGTGCCACATGTGTCAATCGTGCACACGGTGCATGCGTTCAATACCGAACGAATAATAGGGAATGGAAGTGCCCTCTATGTAGAACGGACAAACTCCCTACCGAGGTTCGATTCGAAGCTACCCGAACGGACGGCCCTGAATATGACGAGAAATACCGACGAGCGGAGGTCTGGACGGATAAAATTTTATTAGCTACATTGGCTGGTTTACCATTGGATCATCTCACTAAGCACGACAGACGTCGGGCTACCGAGAGATCCCGGGATTATCGATGGATCAATGGTCACCTAGAAAAGCGTAAAACTGACAGATCGGGTTTGTGGTTGACGGTTCCCCACCCATTCCAGAGATATGATTGGACCTGATCTGCTCACGAAGAGCAGGCCGCTCACTTCGCGATACGTGTCACAGAGGCAACTATAGATCAGAATCGATGGTTCTGGTCTAATATACGGGACGATGTCAGATACGTAGTCGCCAACTGTCTGGTCTATGCTGCCGACCGTGCTCCAATACGGGGACCAAATACGATAGTGTCGACGGAAGTAGAACGCCCTTTTCAGCGAGTCAGTATGGACACGATAGATATCGACGTGCCACCTGGCCCAAACCGTTGCGAATATTCCATCCTTTTACTTTTAATAGATTATTTTTCCAAGTATATCGAGGTCTGCCCCTGCAAAACCCGTAAGGCCGCAGAAATAGCCCCGTACATCGATCGGTTCCTCTTTATCCATCTAGATACAGAAGAGATTCTAACCGACAACGGGTCCGCTCGACGGGGCATTACACTTCGACACACGGTGTCGACGCGAATACCCTTACAAGGGTATTCGCCCTGGGTTTTGCGAGTGACAGAAAATAAGTTTTGTTCGACATTTGAGTGCACTGCGCGAGTCGCAATAGCGTTTTGCTCACGCTGACTGAATGGTTGAGTTGAAGTAGAGGGTGTGTGTAGCGCGTCCTAGTCGACCGACGTCGAATCGTGTTTGGGACTTCAGCCCCCCAGTACGTCGATTTGCGTACGGGTTCGATTTTGGGGCGTTCGACCGCGCGTACCCACAGCGAACGAGAAACGCCCTCGGCTGGGCCACCTCTGCAATTGCATACGAAAAGCTTCCGCATGTGGTTCAGTAGCTCGGCGGGGATACGCCCACCTAAGGGATGGTGACAGCTCCCACAGGTGGAGGTTAGTGGTGCCTCGCGTGACCCTGTCCTGTCGTAGGGGCTCGCGAGAGTACGGATGGCGCACTCGGTCAGAGCGGCAAACGCTCTACGCGACAAGTCCTGCATAATCCTGCGTGACGCGGCCGGGAGGGTCCCCGTATGGGACCGATGCGCTCGACAACGGCACCCCACATTTCCCATTCGAATGGGTTGGCCGAAAATGCCAATCGTATGATTAAGACTGCCCTTCGTAGAAATCAAGCGGCGCGTGACACGCGTCCTTGGCCCGAGATCGTATACCAAATCGTCGGAATTCACCGGGCCACCCCTCACGAATCCTCGGGGTTCACCCCCTTTCAGCTTCGCACCAATAGCCTCCCATGTGTCGATTACCGGGGCAACTCGGAAATTGCCGAAGTCGGGGGTAGAGACACTTGGGCCGCCCTTAAGGCCAAGGCCAAAAGGTACGCCAATTTAATGGAAAGGGACATCCCGAAGCTAGCCCGAAAAAGACAGAAAATGACTGATGTATCCCACGGGAGGCAAGTCCGTAGCTACGAGGCCCGGAAAGGAAACGTCGGTCCCGAACATCAATATAAATCAGGGGACCTGGTGCAGGTACGTAAATGTGCACACGACCGAAAACCCGCTCCCAAGTTCTCTGGTTGTTTCCGCGTTGTCGAGCTCGGACCCAACGGTGCCAACATGGTGCGCATTGTGCCCGAGGCAAGCGCCAACCATAGCTCTGTCCCCATCGTCCGCCATACCTCTTACATCCGTCCCCTCCCTCCTTCTGATCTCCCTCCGTCTCCCTCGTCCACTGAAAGCAAGAACGACGACGATCTAGCCTTCGCCTCGTTCTCCCCCTCTTGTTCCCATCCCTCTTCTTCCCTGTCCTCGCCATGAGTTTCATCACGGAGCAAGCTCTTGGCAATCATCTGCGGCAGCCACGTGGCTACATCTCGGACATCCGACAAGTTCGTCAGCCACGGCTCAGTCCTGATCTTCGACGACTGGCGCAGTTCTTCTGCACCGAGGGTGTGTGTGCCGCAACTGCGTTCCGATTCGCCGGAAGTCCACAGGCAGTAGTATTGGTAGAGGTGGTAGCATTTCATCGGTGGGCGGCTCCAGGAACGAGCCACGTCACCACGGTTGTTGCCTTCAGCGACGATATCAGCACAGTCAGCCCGATTTGACATACCGTGATCCTGACCTCATTACGAGAGTGGACGCAGCAGTTATCGATTGAGTGGCATCACGGTCTTGCGCGCCCCGGGTGCAACCTTGTCCCAATGTACGGGACTGACTTCGACGAGCTCCGTACCTCTACGTGCCAGCCAACCGTGGTGCTCCCCACAGTCGTCCCCTTTCAACGCCCCCAATGAACCGCGCCGCTCCTCTCGCTCCTCTCTCCACCTTTGGTCTTCCCTCTCTTTTCCCTACCTTCTGGCAATCCGATCTTCATCCTCGCCTTTCCTTCTTACTCCAGCCCCTTGCAGTCCCGCTCCTCGACCCCAAGCATTGGCGGGTGTGGAGCGAGACTTTTGTCGATCTGTATGTGTGCTTGGCCCGAGTGGAGGTAACGTGGACGGGGACCGACGAGCATCAGACGTGTATCGAGTACCTGGAGCTGCTGATCATCCAGGCTTAGAGAACTAACGTGGAGGGCGATCTTCTCGGTTTTCTTTTTGGATCGGTGCGGCCAGGCCATCGCCACCCAATTGTCCAGGAACTCGTCGTCCCGCTCGCGCAACTGGTTGACGACCTCTCTCTCGATGTTGTTTCGCAAAGTGACGAGAGTCCGGCTCCGCACGTCCTTACACGGACATTGGCGCCGTATCTTCAGTGGACGGCGTGCTTGGAAGAACCGGGGAACGAAACCGCCCTACCATCACGGCAGGAGTACTTGAAGCCGTCCGGAGTCATCAATCTCGCCTTCTATCCGAAGCAAGATACATCCGAGGAGGTAGAAGAAGAAGAAGCCACCGAAGAAGAGGACGACGCCGAAGAAGAAACGTCGGAGGAAGGGAGCTATAGTGAACACAACGAAGGGGAGCAGAGTGAAGAAGGAAAAGAAGAAGAAGCAGAAGAAGAAGAAGAAGAAGAAGAAGAAGAAGAAGAAGAAGAAGAGGAAGAGGAGGAAGCCGGATCAGAGTGGGAGGCCTTGCCGAAAGAAGCGGCACGCACAGGCACGGAGGCGGAAGATCCCGAGGCGGCACGTAAAATGGAAGAGATCGCCGCCGGGAAAAACCAGCTGGAATTCGTCAGCGAGGCGGACCTGTGCACCAACGACAACCCGACTCGGGATCAAGAGCCCCCCAAGCCTGAAGATGGCGACCCGGCAACCGCGGCTCCAAGCGCATCGCGACAGAGACGGAGCCGATCCCCCTCCCCCTCCACCTCAGCCCGTCCCCCAGTTCGTCCACGTACCGATGCGGGCAATCGGCCTTCGTCCCCAGTCATTATCCCGCCGTCCCCTTGATTACCTCACCCTCTGTCAGATCTCTACCCCCGTCACCTTCACTCACAACCCCTTCCCTCCCAATACCTTCTGTCACTTTTTCTCCACCCGCCTCGTCGTCACCATCCATCCCCATCCTTCCCTTCAATGCGCAAACCCCACCTTCTGTTTGCGCGTCCTTTTGTTTAGTGTCGCGTGGGAGCAGAGCAACGCAGTAGAAGTCTACTGCGTAATCACAGGAACCATCCTCGCATGTCGCCATCACGAGCTGTTTCGCCCGGCACTCTTCCGCACTTTCTCCACCCTCTACCCTGACTACCTCGCCTCCCTCCCTCACAACGGCGATCGATTTCCCCGCTTTCATCGGATCATCCGCTACGAGGAGCTTCTCGTCACAGAGGCAGGGATGAACCGCTACTTACCCCCACTTCCCCCCAAACCTCCCCGTCGACACCCCTCCATGTATAATGTCTACTTTCTCATTCCCACGCGGCGCTGATACCCGCCACGTGTCACGACGGCGGCCCATCCCACTTCTTGTCTATGACCGTTCTGAGCGCGGCGATCGACTGGAGAAATCGCTACGCGTCCCCCGAGCAACACGAGTCAGCAGTTTCGCGAAGATCACGCCATTGACGGTGACGTCAACTTATGCTATGATTCGACGGATTGCGCTGGACTGGGGGTGCAGAGCACACGGAGACTTGATGGACCATGATGGTGCCACCTGGATGATCTCCGAAGTTTGAAAGACAAGGGGTTGCATATGACAGAACTGCGGAGGACTGGGATCCGAGATAGCATGAGCCGGCATGCAGATCTTGCCACGGATGTTGTCGTCAACTCATGCCCCGGCTCAGTTCTCTCTGCTGACATTGTACTTCTTCCTGCTTCTTCACCTCCTCCTACTTCTTCCTGCTTCTTCACCTCCTCCTACTTCTTCCTGCTTCTTCGTCTCCTCCCATTCCTTGGTTCGAGGTTTTTCATGCAATCAGGAGATCGCATAGTTTTGGAACCCCCTGCGCATCACATATGTAACGAACCACTTCCTGACCCCGTGCTATCTTTCGTACCCCTTGAGTCAATACCCCCTTTTGTATCATACCGACCCAACAAAAACCCCTTCGTTTTTCTTGATTTCAGGTGCCTTGTTTAGGCCCCCATTTTTTGGAGGTTCTATTGATTCTTGGAATTCTGCTTTACGCGCGCCTTAGCGAGCGCACTGGGAATTGGGCTCGACAGTTAAGAATTCTGGAATAAGGGAAACCCGACGTGTCTTTTTCTTTGCATGAATGTTCTTGGTCATGACGGAGAAAACTCTAGGAATTTTGTGAGAATACGGATAGGCATAGGACTTTCTTTTCCCGCATCAACTTTCGCGCGCGGATATGGTGATTTCAATTTTTGAATTGGTTTAGGGCATAGATAAGTTGTAACTGTTTTGGTGCCTTTTTCTCTTGTCGTCGGCACCACACATATGAGCTTCCTCCTCCTTGTTTCCCGCGTCATTCTTCCTCCGCGCTCTCTTCTCTCTCTCCCTTCTCCCTCCTCTTCTTCTCCTATCGCAACTGTTTTTCCCTCTCTCTCTGCTTGTTGCGCGCCTGTTCTCCCCTTCTTGATCATCTGAATCTTGGACCCATCTCGCACTGCTTTTCGCGACTCTTTCCTTCTCGCTCTTCAACCTTGGCTCACGAAGCCCGATTGATCCTCCGATTACCCTCGCTCACCAATCAGACGCGTTGAGCAAGAGGATCTTCCTGTTGCGCGACGAATCTGATTGGCTGAACACTGAGTTCCGAAGGATCAACATGGCTTCCCTTGAGCACCCCTTACTGAATCTTCTCCTCTTACACCTCGATCTCCCCTCTGTCTTCTCCCCCGTCTGTCTTCTTTTTCGCAACTATAAATTCCGCAAGCGCACTCGCAAAGCTCTCTTACGTTTTCCACTCGCAAGCCAGCTTCCGGGAAGCAGTGGCTAGGTGATGCGTTTGGTGCGAGTCGAAAAGTCCCGTCGGGCTAACTGTATGTTGGCCGGTTGCGCGCTTGATCGCCACGACGAACTGTGGGATCCGGGCGGACCGTGTCGAGCTTGTGTCAGTGGGGTAACGATCGCAGTGGTGGAAGTTAGCACGTGACGCCCGGGATCGTTGGTGCGGGTATGAGGATCAGTAATTGGAGTTGAGTGGATGACTTGCCCGGGGCCATACTGGAATTTCACGACAAATGCGCCTTCATGGTTGCGGATCATTTTTTTTTTGTGTGAGCTTATGGCTGCGAAGCCGAATGTTTCATTGTCGGATTTCGGTGTCTCCTGTCTCGACATTTTTTGTTTATTTCTCCCATCTCTCTCTCTGATCTGAATGATGATGTGTTATGAGGTTGTCTCTCCTACGAACCGAAGTGAACTCTTGTAATCTCGTGCGAAGGAGAACTTTCGGAACTCTTCCATTAGTTTCCTGGGTAATCCCCGGGTACAAGGGAACTCAATCATCTTGTCTTGTGAACGGTGGATGCGTGTGTACAATCCCCTGATTTATTTTTGACATGTGCACCTTTGTCATTTTCGCTCCTTCCACAGTGGATGTATGAATAGAGATGTTTGTATTCTTACGTTGATTAGATGTAGAGCTCGAGACGGGATTTTGCTCGAGAATGCAAGAGTGTTTAGATCTCTCGGCACTGCGCATGTCATCTGCCTTATACTGCACGACATTTGCAGACGATCTATGGGGCAGCCTCGAAAAAGCTAGGCGCCTCGGGTTTTGTCAAATCTGGTCTGCTGAAACTGAGTCGCGGGTTGATCTCTCGAAACTTCATCTTAATTAGTGCATGGTTGTACGAACTCCGTAGCATGCTTCTCCCGTGACGAAGGAAAGGAAAATACTAGTTAGTTATTTTTCGATTGTGCTTTTTGATGACGTCTCGGGGTCTTTACTAACTCGTTTTGATTGATTGATATATGGACTGACGGCCGTACCTCGATCGGGCGCCAGCCTCCCGTATCTCCCTCGCCAACGCGCCCCTTCCCTTACAACGAGGAAAGGACACGTGTTTGCGAGTAGGACGTACGAGAAGTTGTCGCTCGGATCGACGAACGATATTACTTCCCTCCCGAAACTCGTTGTTCTGGATTCGTGGATGCGGGCTTTGTCATTATCGATACGCATTTCCCACCTTACTCAGTGCTGTTGCCATTTAACGAGTTGATCGTCATTCCGTGGATGGCATTGGCGCCCTGCTGGCCTCGAACCCTGTGCACAGAGTGCCAGCGTTTCGATTGCTACGAGTCGAAGGGCTTTCACTACCGGATACGGAGTGAAGACGAGCACAAGGAACGAGCCACGCGGTTGAGACCATCCACGTCGGACTCGGAACTGGCCAACGAGCTACGTCGGGACTTGATACGAAAACGAGACGCGCGGAGTGTACCGAAGCCCTTCCGCTCTAAACGAAGGTCCATAGCGCAGTGGGAAGTTCGGCAATACTTTTTGGATTGAATTTGGATTTTTCTCTTTTCGCGCCGAGCCCACGCGCGCATTCCACGATGCGCGAAAGCAACCGAATTACTTCATCGGGCCAACACGGGGGATTTCAGTTCTGTCAGTGCCCCCACACTCAATTTTCCAAAAATCCTTGGCACACCCCATCTTGCTGTTTTTCTAGGCCTTCTTTCCGCACCTTTAGCGCTCTGAACGGAGGACAGCACAAAGCGTGAGGTTGGCGCGTCACAGCAGCAGGACACAACTGCACATGACCACCAGAAATCACATGTCATTGCACCAGGTCCCAAAGGGTGGGGGTAGAGGAACGGGAGGTTTGCTTGCCTACATGAACTGGCGGTCAAGCATGGGTGATAGCACCAGGCTCCAAGACTGAGACAACACGGGGTTGCTTGCTGGGTGAATGGGGAGACACTAGTTGCAGCCATGGGACTTGTTCATATTATCACTTACCTGATGCTGTCATGTAGGCAATCAACTTCAGCTGCTGTGTAGTTCTACCTGTTGAATTTCCTTCTTTGTACGTGGGCCCTCCAGCTTGCTGTCATTACAGTCACACGTCTGTTCAAACAAACAACTACGATGTTCGGGGACACTGGACCCACTTTCCAGCAGGTGCTGCTCCCCACCAACATATGGAGCCTCCCCGGGAATGTTACTGGTGCCTGCTCCTATTAGCACGCCCGCATCAGCTCGGGTTATTCACAGAAAAAAATAAGTAAAAATAAAAAAATGTTTCTCAATTGCGACCCTCCTACCCCCCAACTATGTTTCTCAACTGCGGCCCTCCTGCCTTCTTGGCTGCACCCCCTTTTGTGTTTCTCAACTGCGCCCCCCTGGCCCCCCCTTCCCCCCCGCCTGCACCCTCCACTATGTTTCTCAACTGCGCCCCCTCCAACCCCGACCCCCATCCCTGCCTGCATCCCCCCTTGTCCGGTAACCATGTTTCTCAACTGCAGGCCCCCAATCCGCTAACCATGTTTCTCAACTGGGGTCCCCTTGTCCGGTAACCATGTTCCTCAACTGTGTCCCCCAGTACAGTATAACTATGTTTCTCAACTGTGCTCCTCGCGCCTGGCCCCCCCACTATGTTTCTAAAGTGAGGCCCTGCGGTCCCCGGCGCGCACCCC